ATGGGAATCTCACTAACGGACATTCCTGAGTTTGATTTTAATGAGCAAACACTGTACCACCTGGCATGACAAGGCACATAAGCACAAAATAACAGAGAAAGGAATGTGCAGCTGGAAGGAGAAAAACAAGATAAAGACCATGAAGGCATTTCGCATGATCAGAAAGAACGGGCCAATCTGCTAGAGCATAGATGCGCGTGAACACAAGGCTGTAACCTATCTGCAAGCTGCAGGTAGTGCGTGTACACTTCTGCTTGCTATAAAAGATGCTAACAAAAAGCAATAAAGGTCTTTGGTTGCCGTGTCTGCCGGAGTCCGTGCCGCTTTTCACCCCCACAGCGTGGAAGTGCAGTTTGGGTAGTTTGGGTGAGTGAATGGTAGGACTGAGGATAGAAAGGAGTAAACTGAAGAGGAAGCAGCAATGGATGACCACAGTGACAAACGATGCAACAAAAACAATTTAATACTTGCATAAGCAGTGAAAGGTGGAAATGGCACCACTGTCACTCTATTAATGCATACATGCCTCTGATGTCCATCCCTTCCTACATTCTTCACTGCTGTTTTCTTGTCACAGTGAATGCATGCTTGAACTAGGCAATTTGGTTCTTTCACAGGTATCTGCTGTTTTTTGAGTCATTCCATCACATCAGATGATGCTAATCACTTGTTCGATGCTTAATCTTGCTAGACTGTGTAATTTTGGAGTAGTCAAATAGTAGTTAGTTTTCTAAGTCAGAAATGAAAGATAAATTAACAGTTTGTTTATTGGGCATCTGGCCAGTAGAAAATCGGTAAGACGATCCCTTTTTTCAAAGCAGACACAGGTTCAGCTAAAATTATCACATAAATCACCTATTGAAGTCCAACTCATAAGTCTTTAGGATTCTCTCTGCATCAGATCTCTGTTATATGGTCCTCCCTATCCATCCACACCACTTCTCTGTATTTCCATCTTTCATCCTAACTCTCAGAACATTATTTTCTTTGGTCATGGCAAGTGTCTTTTATTAACTGCAAGTTTTCAGAGCCTATCCCTTTTCCACATGTCATCATCTATCTTTTGTACCAAGTAGTTGGGTCCTGTCTCTCATCAGCTGAATACATCAATATTTTATAGCCACTTGTTGAATTTTCAGAAAAGCATCTTACTTTCTTTCGTTGTCCTCTTATTTGCTTTCATTGTCCCAGGTCTCCTAAATATCCACAGAAGTGTATCATCTTTCTTCTTCAAACCCTCCCTAACGATTATCTCTTGTTGCGATGAAATTCGATAACGGTAAGTTTCCTGGTGTACTGAGACCACTGTCTGTTGTACTATCTAAAATGGTTCTCCTCCATCTGTGTGTGTCTGTCATATCCTGTCTTATATTTAGATGTTTGTGAATCTGTATTCTGTTTATACACAACATATATTGAACCTAACTCAACAGGATTCTAGTTCATATATACGTCTTGCAGCCTAGTAATAATCATAATATATGCATGTTGACCATCTGTACGCTTGGCTCTCTACAGCCTCCAGAGCCAGTCTAGCAGCCAAGAATAGCTAGTGCCACAGCAGTCCTAATGAGCCCCATGCAAGGAAAGAAATTTCATCCTGGTTCTGCACTCTGCAAAGACTTCCCCCAAGTCAGAGCTGTCCTGACGGCTGGGCATGCTGGCTTTACAAATCTTTACACAACCTTGAAGTGTAGGAATTCATTTAATGTGAAACAAAGGTGCGTGGAGCAGCTGCATGGCTGTGACAGGTAGCTGAGCTGTGAGATTGATCTGTGTGTCTCTGCTACCTCACATGGCTTATGCTTTTTTTTCTGTGGACAGTCAGCACAGTTGTTCTGCACATCAACAGCTCTGTGTGATTAAATTTTTAAGCGTGGCAGTGTGGTAATGGGTTTAGTGTGGCGATGTCAGGGGGCAACGAGGGCCGACTGCTCTGCAAGGGAAGGTGAGCCATGGGTGGAGCATGATACCAAGCCAGGTGGGAGCAGAGACCTCACCAAGAAGAAGCAGGATGTGGAGCAGCACGTTTGGCTCATGATCAGGGCCAGAGACAGTGATCAGGGTCAGACATAGTCCGGTGATTGCACAGCAAGTCTGTAATGATGAGGCAGGTCCGAGACCAAGCCAGGAAGCCCTGGCAGCAGGTCCGAGCCAGGATCGGAGTCAGAATTGAGGAGGTAGGAGACCAGGTGTAGATGTAGCTGCTGCCCAGCTGCGATGTAGCACAGGTGAGGGCCAGTGGTACAGCCTCAGCTTAAAAGCAGTTCCCAAGGAAAAGGAGGGGGAGGCCCTTGCTTCTAGCTTTCTTCACAACAGGTCTTATCAGCAGAGCAGCTGACCTTGGACTCAGCCAGCTAAACTCTAACATAGCCAACGGCGTTCCTAGAAGGGGGCTGCGCTCTGGGCCTTGACAGCTATCTGCAACACTGCCAGGGCTCACGACTTTTTTGCAAGCTGCAAGATTTCAGTAAAGGCTAGAGACGGTCTTAAAAAGGCACCAGCTATTAATGTCAGGCACATGGATAAACCTCTACTGATGTCTACATTTGCCTAACACCTGGGGTTGAGCAGCCGCTTAGGATGATTATAGAAGATTGAACTTTCTGCCTTTTTTTCCCAGAAGATGACACTTTTCTCAGAAGAGGGGAGACTAGAAATTGCCCAGACGCTGTGGCCCGTAATGCTTTGTCTTTTGCCATAGGTAGCAAGTGTGTTCCCCTCTTAGGTCACTTACCCTTCCTAAATTAGGATTTAGGAGGAAAGACTGCTGAAGCTACTCCATGTGGATTGCAGATGTCAGAGCAACAGGAGAAGCAGAAATTGTTGTCCTGACACAATTGTTCTTTGTTTGAACTGACATGGGCGGAACACTGGTAATATGGTATAGAAACTATAATTAATTTCTAAACAAAAAGCACTTGTTATCATCATGCAAAGCCTTCCCTCCCTAACGGGCTGTTTTACTGTGATGCCTATAAAAACTGACAGTAGCTAAGCTGCTAATATGCAATGACCTCTTCTTGGCATGTTGACCATTCTCGTCGTCTCTTCATACTCTATCATCTTTTGTCTCATAGGTCTGTGTTAACGCTTTGCGGTGTTACCTTTTGTTCTCTATTTGTGTGTCACTCAAGGCAATAGTGCCTGTGAGTGGGACTTCTGTGTGCTATGGTAACATAATTTATGTTAATTGTCTATCATAAGAGATGATAATAATAGGGAGATCAAAATTAAATTACAAAATCAATATGCACATGTACAGTATCATGACTTTGCTATCTGTCTCATAATTATTGATGCATGAACTTCACGCTTGTGAGTTGCAATGATATTTGCTATTTGTTGCCAAATATTAGTGATATTTTTTTCGATCTAGCTGTAAGTATTAATTAATGTGAGTTGTTAAATTTGTACCTATAGTCAGCTTACAGTTATCTGCAGGCAGATTTTTCATGTCACAGATTAATTGCACCACAGATGCAGGCACAGCTTGGGTTTGCCAGGTTTTATTAGCTCTAGCTCAGCACTGGGTCTGCCAGACCTGTGCTGGCTGCACAAGGAATCGTTTAGATGTCTTTGCAATGTGCTTGCCAGTGCTGCTCCCTGTTACTTGATTTATTTGCTTGTGTTGCACTGGAGTCATGCTAAGGTAATTTACTGATTTGCTGTACACTATGCCCCAGAACTAAGCAGCCCTTACCACAGGTAGTAGTGCAGAGACACTACAGCCCATGATTTCACAGTACGGGAGTTTTGGTCACATTTGGTTGTAAGGACTACTGGGTTTAAAAACCCTTCAAAACCAGATTGATGTTTTAATGTGTGTTGTCAAATGACAGCCTGCTTGCTCAAAAGCAATCGGGCAGGCCTGCTGTTAGGGAACTTTCCTGAGGACGGCACAGGTGCCTGCCTAGTTCAAGCAGAGCAGGACAAACCAGACTAACTCTACGGCACAAAGCTGTTCCCGTGTCCCTGCTTCTGTGTCCTCAAGGCAAGACGCTCCTCAAGAGGCTGCAGTCACCTTTTGTGCTTCACGTAGCACAGGCTTGTGTGCAACACCCTGTCAGCTGGGGCTCAGTTGCTTTTTCCATCATTTACTACAGAAAGCTAACTTTGGGTCCTGCACTTGGGTCACAACAACCCCATGCAACGCTACAGGCTTGGGGAAGAGTGGCTGGAAAGCTGCCTGTCGAAAAAGGACCTGGGGGCTGTTGGTCGACAGCTGGCTGAACATGAGCCGGCAGTGTGCCCAGGTGGCCAAGAAGGCCAATGGCATCCTGGCTTGTATCAGAAACAGTGTGGCCAGCAGGACTAGGGAAGTGATCGTGCCCCTGCACTCGGCACTGGTGAGGCTGCACCTCGGATACTGTGTTCAGTTTTGGGCCCCTCACTACAAGAAGGACGT